ATTTATCCACTCGAGACAGTTAAATTTTCAAATTTAAAACGCGAGGCTTGCCGAGCGTTTTAAATATTTAAAATTGAACTGTGGAGAGTGGATAGATATCGTATTACACGAGATTTTGTGGTGGAATCTGTTTCTCTAATGATTTTCAAACAATACGCAGGCAAAACTATTCCTTCTTTCCGAATGATGTTCTTTCTATGTGACGTCATCAGACATGGTCGCCTTTTTTCATGCCGTCACAATAGGAAATTCAGAGGAAAGCAAGAAAATTCGACGTCATAATCGGATTTTAACAAATGAAGAACTGAGATCAAACGAACCACACGCTGCATGGATTAAATTTTTTTTATACAATGGGCGCAGAAAGGGGTAAATTGACGAATAATTAGAGAAATGTAAATATACAATGTTGTTTGTCGATATAATTTACATGTTCAAGGGGTATAACACCAGCAAAATTCTCAAATTAAACTGCTTTTCGAACTAGTTAAGATAATTCGGTAAGCCTTTAGCATAGAAGTAAAAAAAAATGCCATGAGAAATTTCTAGAAAAAATAAAAAACTTTCAAACAATATTGTCTTCAAATTTGTTTCTTTTTTATTTCAGCACACATGTGTTTAATAACAAACTGGGCATTACATTGTATCTATGAACCGAAAAAGCACGCATAATACAATTGTTGGCCATTAAGTCAATATAACCTAATAATGAATATGAAAAAGCAGACATTATTTTGGCGGGTAATGCTAAATATTATGTTTTGTCAGCAATATGTATACTATAATATAGATAACGGAACGGAGTTGTTGTACGCAGCCATAACATGGATAGTAAGCAGTTCGGTTTGATTGGTTTTATTCTGGTGTTGAAATATAGCTTAGGTAAGATTGTCATATATAATAGATAATGTTTTCATTGCCTTTGATCAAATATATTTTTAAGGAAAACAAATAGGAAGATGTGGTATGAGTGCCAATGAGACGACTCTCCATCCAAGTAACAATGTATAAAAAGTTAACAATGACTTATAGGTCAAAGTACGGCCTTCAACACGGAGCCTTGGTTCACACCAAACAGCAAGCTATGAAGGGCCGAAAAATGACTAGTGTAAAACAATTTAAACAAAAAAAAAAAAACAACGGTCTAATCTATATAAAAAACGAGAAACACCTATGAACCACACCAACAAACGACAACCACTGAACAACAGGCTCCTGACTTAGGACAGGTGCATAAAAATGCAGCGGGTTTAAATGTTCAAACAGGTGCCAACCTGTAGCTAAACCTGACACAGTAGTGTAACATTACAATATAAAAAGACACTATAAAATATCAATTGAAATGGCTTAACTCGATCAAAAAGACATTTAAACAAAAACAAGTAAACATACACTTAACGAATAAGTGTGATCTATGACACAAGTTAGTAATAAAAAAGATGAAGAAAGAGTGTCAATCAGATAACTCTTACCTGGGACAAAATGACGTTTAATAAAACAAAGTACACAGGTAAATTTAAATATAATAATTGTGTTTGTTAAGATGACGGATTCCCCAAGTAAACATTTTTTTATAAAAATAATAAATTTGTTGTTCAGAGTACGAGTACATAAGTGAACATTTATTGTCATACTAAATACTTATCAAAGGTGGTAAATATACAAAATAGTGAGACGAGATTTAACACAAAATAAGTAAACAAAACAAAAACCATGTATTTTTATTATTTGAAATTTTGAATAAACGACAGACGAGATTAAAAAAAATCTTCCACAGGGATAAAAAAATAAGCAAAAAAAAAAGAAAAAAAAAAAGAAAAAAACAAAACAAAAAACAAAACAAAAACAAAAAACATATAATTTTTTACAGTTGATGAATTTCTTGTCCGTTCTATTTATATTCTTCATACATTTTTTCATACATTACCTATTGTGTATTTGTTATATTGTAAACCATTTTATTTTAGCATTTAGAATTTTGGAGATATGTTTAACGTTTTATGGTTTATGATCTTAAAATACTAGAATAATCGTCTGATCTGTACGGAGTATGTCCTATACATTTAGTTGTACTTTGATTGAGATTGGAATCACTTGACGGTTGATACAAACATGCCTCTCCGAAGTCAGGAGCCTGTTGAATTTTTCATTTGAATTGTTTTACATTTTTTCGTTTTTCGGCCTTTTATTACTTGCTATGCGGTATGAATTTTTCTCATTTTTGAAGACCTATGGTCAATTATTGTCGATATTAATATTCACGTTATTTTGTCTCTGATAAATATTCGTTTCATATATGCAGCTTGGTACATCGATTTACGACGTGAAAACCACAATAGCACCACATACAACATAAACAACAACAATATTGATATAAAAATAAATGAAATCTAAATAAGTCTTTGGTATGACCCATCCGGTTTTCGGACCAATTATACATTAGACATGACTACCATTGCGGAAAAATATGTAAAAATGTAGTTCTTATTATGATTTTGAAAATCAGAAGTCAAGAAAAATACGTTTTTAAACTCATACTCCTTCAGCAAGATAAAGAGGAACGACTGATTAGTAGAACGAATTATTTCTTCACAAGTTTTACGGTCAAGATCACAAAGTTTAATGATCGTAAACGTAATTTCACTCTCTAGGTGTATACCAAGTTACATTTACCAAAAGTCCGCTATACAGTCCGTCTGACATAAAAACTGTTTTTCTCTAGTTCCAGGTCATATGTACCTGTGTTCATGTAAAGTTGACCTATAGATATCTTTTGGATATTTTGTTATTGAGTGTAGGTCTCATTGACGTATACTACAAATCTCATCAATGTAAACATCGGAAAAAAGTGTATATTTTATTACGATAACACGTGCCCGACAAAACAAACAATTAATATAGACTACTTTTTTAACATACCAATCATTTTATTAAAGTGAACGGACTTTGTAATTTTCCATGTAACTGGCAAAACAAAAGATATTTTGGGATATCAGATGGATCAGACAATACTATTACGTGTCAGCAGTCCTCATTGAATACAGCAATTACAAGCGAAGATCAAACTGTAACAGAGGAATGTTATGCTCAGTCTGGTCCATTTAAAGTTTTAAGGCGAGTAAACTAATGTTTTTATCATTAGCTTATTTCAATTGAGCTCAATATAAGCTATACAATTATGATCTCGTTATAAAGCGTTACCTTGTGTATAATAAGGACGTTAAAGAGTTTTATAAAAGCAAGTTTTATTCAACAAGTAGCAGTTCATGTAGCCTTTAATCAATGTATTTCTTGCAACTAACATGCAATTAAAAAGGAAAATAAGATGATACATCGGTGGTAATCAAAACTATTAGCCGAAGAACGTCAGACAACAATATGGGAAAGAAAAAAAGACAACAAACTGTTTGAGTCTTAGAAACACATGTTTTATTTAACATTCGTAGATGACTTTGAACTAGCTCTGTCAGTAACTGCGATTACAGCATAAACACAAAATCAAATCGGTACACTTTTCTTACTGGGTCAACCGGGATAAGAGTAGTACATTTCAACAGGAAAATGAAGGAGTGTTGGATGAGGAAAAACATTTTATCTTGCAACAGGTGACGCGTATTTTTTACATCCCGAATTGCAAAACCGAGAACCGAGGCACTTCATTGACGGAAGTTGTATTGCCAGATGGCAGAAGTTCAGGAGACAATATCTCAGTTAACCCTTTGACTTGGTGTCTGTAATTATCAGCGAGAGGGTGAAAAAAAGATATTGCCTGATTTACATGAAGACATTTCTGTAATTCAACGGCATATTTCTAAATATTTGTTATGAAATTGAAGATTTTTGACTTAGAACATACGGAAAAATAACTAGTCGTGCACATCGATGTCCGTATAGTACGATAATAAAATATGGAACGCCACACTGTCTTATGTGGTACTCTGATATTACATTATGTTGTTTTACTATTACTTGATGATATTTTGTCTTTACATAATATGGTTTTGAGATAACGTAATGATGTTTTGATATAACACAATATGGAATAGTCATTACTTAATGATGTTTTGATATTACTTAATACTTAATTACTGGGATGTTCCATGATAAAACATATTAGTATATATTTTATGAACATGTTTTTGAATTGACTTTATCATGAAAACATGTAGGAATCAATAGTGGACTAAAATTAAAAATTGAGAATAAAAGGATAGTTTCCCTTATTCATGTCACACCAGACATGCATAAGGACCTTTTATAAAAGTACTCCAATTAAAAAAAAAAAAAAACTAGAATATCACAGTTTCACGCTTGTAATTAAAATTTAAAAACATTTTGAAACATTTCCGAACTTTCGGAGGGAAGACTTCAACTTTACCGTTTACAACTCTTTATTCATATTGTTCCATTTAAACAGCCTTTATCGCAAAAAATAAACGAAAAAAAAAAAAACCGCAAATGATGATATATCATACTAACTGGGGGGTATACATATAGTTTACAAGTGCTGTACGAATATTGCTACACAAATGAAAATATAAAAATGAGAAGATGCAGTATGATTGCCATGACAATGAGACAAGCTTCAACCTGAGACCAAATGACATAGAAGTTAAAAACCGCAGGCCACTGTATGGCCTTCAGCAATGGTAAAAACCCATACCGCAAAGTAAGCTATAAAAGGCCCCGATGAATAAATGTTAAACTATTCAAACGTGAAAACGTACACTCTGATTTATGTCCAAACAATAAATGAAAAACAAAATTGATATACAGAAACAAACGACAACTAATAAATTATAGGCTCCTGACTAAGGAAACGATTTTTTATTTATTCTTACAATCTAAATTTCTGGTACCACATATTTTTTTTTATATATTATTTCCCAACGGAAATAATTTAGAATTAATTTGTTCACATTCATCATGTTCATATACACGCATTTATTTATAATTGCGTTCTAATTTTCTTATGTTTCTAAATTTAGACTTCAGAATACAAATCGGTACTTCTGCTTGAAAGACACATTTTTTGACAAGAATGCCGACATTATTTTCATCTACATAACACCAACCAGTAGGTATATTTTTGTATAATGTTTTAAACACAGGATTAGACATAAGGTATTCACTGAATTAAATTATTATGCATACGTAATCAGTCATATGAAAAAATAAAGAGAGAAGGTATTGTAACTTACAAAAAACTGATACTTTAAAAACTAAAATGTAGCGGCTGACGTTCAATTGTTTATTATGTTTTATCATATACCTAGCATTTCTATGATGGTCTTTGCATATGTTTAGCCACCGGACGTAAACTGGCCATAAATTGACACAAGATTGATAACCTTTAAGCATATCAGCCCTCTGTGATGTCACGTTGTTTGACTAATATGGGGTTATCAGCCTGGGTGCGTTCGTTCATCAGTAATATATGACAAAAAGATTAATACATGCCCCTTGTCATATCGGCTCGGGTATCATCCCTCGACCCATATCAGCCCTCGACCAACGTCTCGGGCTCATATGGGGGAATCATGATAATACCCGGGCCGATATGGAAAAGGCCATGTACTAATCTGTATTTACTATACTACTCAAACAAACCAACGTCGGCGAATCTCTTGTTATATGCATGATATGGGAGATATTGTGGTTGCGAATAATGATGGTCGTCTTCTCTTTTAAGGAACATACAAGCAGAGTCCTTCTATATGTGATGTGTGTTACGGTTTCCAGTTAAAACCCAGTCTCTACGTTAGTAAGTAAAATTTCAGTACACTTTGTCTATTTATTACACTTATCTGTCAAAATTTGTTGACGAACAGATGTAAGCTAAATGAAATTCCTGAAACATATTGTTTTCATTATAAATAAGGAGACGTGGTACGATTGCCAAAATTACAACTTAATACATACATTTAAGCAATAACAGGTAATCGTACAGACTTTACCTATGAGCAAAAGTCATATTATATAGCCAGTAATAAAAGGTCCTATCACAACAAAAAGTAAAATCACAAAAATACTTAACTCCGAGGAAAATTCAATCGGAAAGTCCCTAATCATATAGCAAAATCAAATGACAAAACACATCAAACGAATGGACAACAACTGTCATATTCCTGACTTGGTACAGGCATTTTCAAATGTAGAAAATGGTGGATTGAACCTGGTTTAATAGCGCTAAACCTCTCACTTGTACGACAGTCTCATCAAATTCCGTTATATTTACAACGATGCGTGAACAAAACAGACATAATAAATAAAATAGTCAAAATATGGGTAAAGCAGTCATCACTGTGTTACAATATCAAAACAAATCATAATTTACAAAAAAGCACAACAGCATCTATCAAATTAAAAACGATATTCATTGCTTCGCGTGTCTGACGTCAGAAAATGTAAACGTCACATAGGAAGAAATTTTTTCGTCCAATGTTTATTCAAAACAATTTTGTAATTTCACATGGGGAATGTTGGTATACAGAGTTAAAAAATCAAAAGTTATGTTAGAATTAGTTTCAGAAATAGACCGAGATTTAAAATTGTCCAGAAAAATGTGAAACAATAATATAAAAAAAAACAAAAAAAAAAAACAAAAAAAACTGACGGTCAGATTTAAAATTAACCAATACACGAAAAACAGATTCAAAAGACAGCAAATATTTGTTTTATAAGTTCAAGTTTCCTATTTAGTAGGTTTTATTTGATAAATTATTAATATATATTATGTGTGGGCACATATATACATACGACTAGATAGAAGTCAACAAGCATTCTTACGAGGGTGTCAGATCGTTATGGAAAGCGATATTGTACACAGTGAATACGCCTAAAAAGTACACAACAACGCCAAAACAATGACAAAACATATGAAACAAAAAATACAACACTCAATAAATATTTCGGATAACAAATATCCTTCATCAGTATAAGTAGACTGGTGTAAAATACCGTCAATAGCTATGGTAGTTTTCAGATATCTTGACCATTATACAAATCAAACACAGAACAATGTGTGTAGAAAAATTAAAGTTACAATTAAAAAAATCTTGACCTTCATACAAATTAATTAAAAACAAAAGGTGGAAAGTTAAGAGTTTTAGTATCTTTTAATCTTGGAAAAGTTACTTATTCTTATTTTGCTAATGTGTATATTACGCAAATACACCCCTAATTTAAATACCATACGAACGCAGTACACATAGACATCTATATACATTAATGACTATAGGCATATTTATATGCCCATGTAAATTTCAACCGAAAAATGTAATATTGTTCTAACACATTTGTTGTGTATACATTGTAGATACAAGAATCAATAAATACAAAATATACAAGTAATTCAAAATTTTGGATACGGATAAGATAAACTAATCCCCATTACTAGTGCTTTTGGACTTGTCATATTTGCATATATATTTTGCGGCATGTATAATCCTATTGACATTGCTGGTGTCAAAAAGAGTGAATATGACTGCTATGCTAGTTGAAAAAGTACTTTTGAAATATATGTTTCATATCTAGATGTATAATATCGTCCTAGGCTGTGCATGTTTTAAATAATTTTTCTTGCGCCGCGTAGTCAATTCAAAACCTACCAGTTAGACTTTAAGATAAACACATGCAAAAATCAACCAAGCGGCTAGCATAAATATTGACAGTAATTTGAAAACATCTGGTCAAGAATGAGGGGCGGTAGGAGAGCGGTGACATCCCGAATTCCCGGGATAAAAATCATTCTTTCAGGGATACCCCCCAAACAAAAAATCAATTCCTGAGTACCGATAAGGGTAAATCCTGAACTCCCGCTATAATAAAGGCCCAATACCGAATTTCCGCAAAAGTAAAGGCCTAATCCCGACGACCTAAAAAAAGTCATTCCACCCCTCAAGAATTTAACATTGCAAACACACATCTGTGTCGAATGTTTCGTTTCTATCAAATAATGATTAAGAGCTTTTATATAAGAAAAGTAATGTATATCCTTTCCTATCATATATTTTGTTTTTTTGAAGATTTACGTACACCGTTTTCTGTGTGTTTATTATTAAAACGATACCAGCAAAGGAACGCAAAACACTAAAAAAAACACACACATTTGGCCTTCCTGCTATAAATGTGGTATATGTATACAGATTGTTTTTTCTTTATTTCAGGTGATAATGTACAAATGAACAGTAAGTACTACAATGTATGAAACTTTCCAAAATCATAATTTATATGTTTTCTCATTCTTATATGTTGGAGTGAAAAGAGAGCCGAACGATACCAAATTGATATTCAAACTCGAAAACAAACTGACAATGCTATAGGATAAAACGGAAAACGACTAAAAGACAAACAACAATATCCAATACACGAACAACTCGTACTTCAACCAAACAACTTGAGGTGATTTCAGGTACTCCAGAGAGGTAAGCAACTCCTGCTCCATATTTGAAACCCGTCGAATAATATTTTAGTGATACCTCCTGGAAACAAAGTTTGGGATTATATAGGAATCTGTCTGGCTGGCCGTTTACCTGTCCGTCCCGCTTTGTGTCAAGTGCATAATGTTTATTCTGTAAAACATAGGTTAACCAAACTTCGTATGTAGATGCATCATTGGCTGGGGAATGGGTGTCATTTTCCGAAGTCAAGTGATTTTGGTCTTATGATAGTAAAACCTTGTCCAATTTGTGTCCGGTTCATAGCTTTTGTATCGGAAAACTAAGGTTGACTAAACCTTTTTTAGTCTTATATACATGATCTCTTTTATTAGTTGTTATTGACTTTGGCCTTTTAAAGCCGACTATACGGTATGGATTTTTCTCATTGTTGAAAGTCGTACGGTTGCCTATAATTGCTTACATCCACTTTATTTGAACTTTGGTGGATAGTTGTCTCATTGGCAATCATACCACATCTCCTTATTTTTTATATTAGTATGCTGTTGCTTCTGGGAATGGGGATCGATGTGTCACATACTAAAGTCAGGTCGCTCTCACCTTGACTTTGACCTTTGACCCCTATAATAGTCAATCCTTGTCCAATTCGTTTCCGGATTATAACTTTTGTACCGTTTAGATTAAACAACTTCGGTATGCAGTTGCATCACGGGCTTTGGTGTGTCATATACCAAAGTCAGGTCACTCTGACCTTTGACTCCTATGATAGTTAAATATTGTTTGATTCGTGGTTGGTGCATGCATTTTGTACTATATCACTTACTTTGACACAACTTCGTATTCCGAAGCATCATACTGATCTTACCTTGACCTTTAGCTTCTGGTATAGTTATTTCAGATTGACCTATCAGTAACAATGTGTCAATCTAACACAGAGGCAATGACTGTATGAAACGAATAGCTAAAAACCAAGAATATCAAAACGGCATTGCCTCAATACTGAATTTCACAGTAGGTACTAAAATGCATGCATGAGAGGTATAAGTCCCGCTATGCTGACAGCTGTATTTATTATTAAATGTTACGCTACTCTAGAAAGGGCTTATCCTTGTTACCCTACATGATCTTGTGCTATTTCTGTTACTGTTATACAAGTTTCGTTGTCGTATTCATTAATTCAAGAAGATCTGAGCTTAAACTTAAAACAAAAAAAAACAAAAAAATTCACACAACATGAACTCATCACTAATACAGATCAATTACGTACATGAGTACCCTTATGAGCATTCGAAAGAGTTAATTTGTTATTTGATTGTCGCATATCAGTATCAATGAGGGTATCTAAATAACTAAACTCTAAATTTATCAATTAAAATCTGTTCCTTTTCTGAGTGAATTATTTTTATTCCTTTATTCATTGAAATTAAAGTTTTAACATAGTATAATTACTTGCAGGCAGAATTCGTTTGAAAACGACAACATTTTAGGATTTAATTTGTAATATATATATTATATTTTCTTCTTCAGAATATGACACCATGAAACGTGAGTTGGTTTGCGTATCAAATAATAAGTCATAATATTACAACGTTATGCCTTAATAATAGTGTATCGAATGGAATTGAAAAAAATAGATAATTGTACTTCTATGGAAAGACTATTGTCTCATTACAAGCTTTCATTAGATTGTCGGTTAAATTTGTAGCCGGGTCAAATCGGAGACGTTATAAATTAGATTTCGATCACATTTTGAATGTCGGGGCGTTTTATAGCTTACTTTACTGTACTGAGTTTTGCTCGTTACCAAAATACCATACTGTATCCTATAGTTGCTTAAACCCGCAATATTTGGACTCGGTTTGATAATTGCCTCCATGGCAATAATACCACATCTTCTTATTTGATATTTAATGTCTTTAGGCTAAGTATTAGACATTTTGGATAGTGGTGCAATCTAGCTAGTTTGGAAGTAAAATATTTAAGGTGAGTTAGATGACATGTCTTCCTGCGAACTATTTACCTATCAGTTCACATTTTGTCTATTTTGAAACGAACTACTTTTGTTCATTCAAGCACTGAAACATAATTCACAATAACGGTTAACATGTTCCGTACCATATACGTATGGTAGGAGTAATAAAAGCTTTTTACAGTGCTTATTTTTTCCCATTTATTCTTTCAGTGAAATACAGTGGTAAGTAAAAGTCTTTTGCGATGCTTTTGTTTAAGCCTCTTCTTTTAAAAGCAAAATTAAAAATAGGAAATAACATTATATCAAAAATTAAATGAATCACTTTATATCTAATTGCAATTCAGGCCTTGCGGTCATAGACATTTCGAGCACGATTATCATACTCAGACTCCGAGTTGAACCAATCAAAATGCTGGAGTTGGTGTTTTGAGCACTCCGATTACTGATCATGAGTAAAATATCATGACCAAGGGCATAGATCTTTATAGTGTTACGATAGGAAAAGGGTTATCGCACTTCTTATTACACGTAGGTATCTTTGGTAGTTAAATAATCAACGGTACAGCTCTAAAAAAAAGTATACGTAACACGAATTCATTGAACTATTTATATTGTAAAAAGGTTCTTGTATATTTATGTTGTTCACCTATGGTACATACATGTATATACAGACTGTACCATGTATACAGCACTATTTATACAGGTATTTATATTTCTAACCTTTAGTACATACATGTATACAAGCACATATGCATCACGTTTGTTGTCCCTTTCAAAGTAAAATATGTGTCCACAAGTCTTACGATGCGGCTTGACAGTTTTCCGACCAACTTGCAATGATCGTCTACAGGATAGGATAGGAAGATGTCGACGTGCTATTTTAGTTTTTGATCTTAGACATCATTTTATTTCCGATACAAAAAGATATTCCTAGCTGTTTATGCTTCAATTAGGTTTTTAATTCACAACTCCTTACAACATCTTGATATACGCACATTAAACTTACACATATACTTGTACAAGACACAAGCTTTGTAAGAATTATATTTATTCTTATTTTTATTTTTGAATATTTGGTAGAAGATACATTTATTTAAACACCAAGAGTGTATAGGTATACTTTACTTTGTATTGATTTACCGTGTTGTCCAAACACAGTCCAAATAATAAACTGCCTTGTACAAGGCACAAGCTTTCATATACATCTTTTTAAAAAATGCATCACAAATACATTGTACATTTCATTGATGGTAGTCACAATTGCTCAAACATTATTTATTTGCTTTTGGCCGATAAATGAAAAGTAATGCATATGGCCATTTTGACATTTTTATTCATCTTCCTGAGCACTATAAAAAAATCAAGTGTATTATAACAAACAAATAGCCTCCGTATAATAGAAATGTGTCAGAGGATAAATTATCTTGCACGGTTTCCAAGAAGTATGTTGTTTATTTTCTTCTTTGAAATAAGGGAGATGATCATCCCCGCTTGAAACAGGGAACTTCCGGTGTTAATTGATAGCTTACCTTTCACTGATTCTAAAATTATGTGGTTTCGATGCATTTCACTTTGAAATAAGAGAGATCATTGGTTACTTACAAATAGCCGAGACGTTGTTATATGATTCGGAAATATATTTTGTTCATAAACTTGAAATAAGGGAGATGACTTGAAACTTTTAGTTTTTGCAATGTTCCTTCCAATTTCAAATAATAGGTTACTATTTCGATTCTAAACATAACTGTTACACAAAAAAAAGTGGTAGGGAAACCTACTTCCATGTACGAAAGCCACTGCCGATTGATCTTTTTTCAAGTTCATATGTCAAATCTAATGCACAATACCTTATTGCATTATCATGTATCAGTATTAAGTTATAAGAAAGCTCAAAACCTAGAAAAACACATCGAACTTTGACCTCAATTTTAAGGTGAAAAGTAAAAATACAAATACTGTACGAAGAACAAACACCTTAAATACAAACTTGTTCAATACGAATTTCAAACTAACCTGGTATATAAGAAACTTCCAGAAGGCAAGCCCAATTGTGATACATTTTTTTCTGCAAATGATTACATAAAAACAACGTCAGAGGGCCATTCGCTACGAGATATAAAAAAAAAATATGATTTGTTTTGTCCAATCATTAATGGAAATGATATAGTGATATGATTCTTCGCTTTTATTAGCCAGTTTGGTTCAGTTTTGTAAAAAAAAGCAAAGAAACATCGGTAATGAATTATTCACTTGCAAGTGAATAATTCGACTCTATTAAATCCGTATGCATGTTGACTTCATTGAACCCCTTAGCTAGAGATGGGTTATGCATGAAATAGACGTGTTCAGTTTTTAAAAAGAAAAGTATGTCATCATTGGAAGTGAAACAAGGGTAAACCATTTGGTTGACTGAGACGATCTACAAAAACTCATTGCTATAAAGGTAAAAACGATTATTAACATATTTTTCATACCTACAGTTTATATAAAATCAAACAGATAGACAGTCTTCGGAGGTCACCTCGATGGTTAATTAGAAGGCGTCTAGACTAAAATACACACGAAATGCTGATACATATTATCGAGTCCGTGCATCGTAAATTGTTTATTTTAGACTTTTTATTATTTGGATATAGATTATAGTATGTTATAAATCAAATATGAGATTTTGAATTAAATCGGTGAATATAAAATTGACAGCTATACCGGTACACCTTTAACAATTTCTTAAAAAAAAAAAAACTTTATTTCAGCCATCGGATGTAACCGTCCAAAGAACTGTCCAGCAGAAAAGCAAGGTGATTTCCAATGTACAGGATGTGAAGAGGCTTCTGATAATGGACTCTGTTGCTCCCAATGCAAAACACGACAGTTCACATATTAAATGAACTGTATGCATTGTGATTTCGCAATACAACAGTACATTATTATTAATATTTATGCACTTGTAGTTTGCCTTTAATTTACGAAAAAATCAAATTACTAGTATTGACAACAAGTTTCAGCTGTTTCTAAGAATCTCTTGAAAGCAGTTGTCTGCCACAAATAAACACTTGCACAAAAAGGCAAGTCCGGGAGTACAGTTGGTTTCGATAGGAATGTCAATTGTTTCTTGATAATTTACGAGAACAAACATAACAGACATGAACCAACGCCAACGCCTGAACTGCAGGCTCCTGACTTTAAAACCAGGTTCAACCCACCATTTTCTTAAAATGTCCTGTACCAAGTCAGGAATATGGCAGTTGTAATCAGATAGTCCGTGTCTATGTATATTGGCGTTTGTTTTTGTATCATTCCAGTGTTTCTGTTGTTCCGTTGTTTTCCTGTTATAGTTGGTGTGTTTCCCTCGGTTTGGTTTGTGACCCGAATTTGTTTTCGCTTAATCGAGTTATGGCTATTAAACAGCGGTATACTTCTGTTGCATTTATTTTGGACAGGCACATACAGAATGTTGCGGGGTTAAAATTGTTTGAATGCGTTAAGCTTTCCCTAACCTGGGACAGTGGTGCAACAGTACAACATAAGAACACACTCTAAAAATCAGTTGAAAAAAAGCTCAAAAAACATCTAATAAGAACACAGACTGGACGTGGCAGGTTTTTTTATACATCCCTCACAACACAGATCTGAGAATACTCATAGTTACAGTTTAATCACTTCAGATAAATCGTGGTTTATATAGAGTGTGTCCTTAGTTTTGTATGTTGAGGAGTGTTTACTATTGCTTTTTTTTGTATTAACATCCAATGTTTGCTTTTTGATTTATCGGTTTGAATATACCTTGTGTATCTTTCGCCTCCCCTTTAACAATATATCCAAATGACTTTGAATAATCCTTTAAGAGAAATAACACACAAGTGTCATACTAGTAAACATTATATTTAGAAGTGAATGGCAGGTTATGAAGTTAACAGACGGTTTATGACGTATGTTCACTAAATCGTGGAATGTGTACTGGTTGATACGTTAGTATTAGCGCATATGATATATCAAGTAGTTGCTATTGGCTCTGAACTAGCTTTCAACAACTGCGAGGATTATCGTGCTACATATGATTTGGTACATGAGTCAACTGTTTGATATACATAGATTGTAAAAAAAGCATCCATTAATACAGGTTTAATGTGCATTAAAACAAGTATACTTTACCTGTTATTGCAGTTACAAACAACAAAACGAGGAAATGAGAATATTGCATTGCCCTGTGAAATGTAATTGTATATATCTTATATAGGAAACTATCTATATCAATAACACAAAGCTGGGGTGATATAACAGATTTTTACCCCGGGGAAACATTGTCAACTTAGGCACCAACAATCTGCTCTATCACCCTCTTAGATATGTATTACACTGTATGTTCTGTTACTACTGTCTATTAGATTTAAATTTAAAGTAGTAAATTATGACGTCCTGTACATAACAACCATACGTATCTAATAAAGCGCATTATTCGATTATGACGTCAAATATTCTTGTTTTCCTCTGACTTCCCTATTGTGACTTCATAAGAAAAGGTGACCATGCCTGTTGATATCACATAGAAAACACACATCTTTTTGCAGATCAT